GATTAGAGACACCTTCCTGTCTGTATTGTACTTAGAAAGAGAAAAGAAGGAGTCATCCACTAACCTAATTTTAATCCCATCGTCCAAGATTGAAAAATGGAACCTAAAATGGCACCTCGGCGAGTACGATCTTCCGCAGATTAAGATATCGTAAACCGCGACGATAAATTAATATGTTCTCGTACTCGTACGCACTCGACACGCGTACTTTCAGGGAAGCAAGGTTATTAATGCTTGGCTGTGCAGGATGCCTGGAAATGGCAAGACTTAAACGCGATTTTCGCCGGCAGGGGCGGATGAAAAGTGAATCGCGGGTCGCGTCACGGAGGGACAGAAACGCGGTTACGTTAGTCGCACGGAAGACACTGGGAAACGTACTAAAATCCGAGCGTTCTGCATATAAATTATTCGCGGCTGCACGATGCACGTGCAGCAAACCGCCTAGATTTACGCGTTCCTGCGGCAACGCACCGCGAAACACGTAGACGTTACGTGCCGCGAGGAGCCTGGTCCACGCTTGCTTTCGAGCTAACACGCGTTGCATGATCAAATAGTACATGAAAAGTGGCCACACGAGGCTAACGGAAGGCGGATAACGAGATTCCTGATCAATATTCCCCGGCTAAGGAAATTCGAGAACGGCCGAACAGAGGATTGCTTGTTCGAATCCGCTGCTCTCCGCGAGGAACACGAGTGTTCTTGGAAACTAAGTCTCGAGCGGACGCGATGAATATGTCGACTCCAATACCGACCACGTGCGTTCTCTTCCACGAACCGATTTCATTATCCTTGGCGTAATCGGTCGGTGAAGTACGGAATATGTTCGATTTCGGAGATAATCGTAGAAGACAATTATAATACATAAACTGAAGGTCGTTCATTTTTCTATATTCTCGAGACTGTATTAAGATAAATAAAATTACGCAAGTCGTATAATACTTGAACTATCGACCCGTAATAAATAGCCACATATGGTGTAAACAAGCGATAATAATTATAATATCGGGAAAGAAAATATTTAATGGAGGATGAAATTATGTATGACATTAGTAAGTAGTCCGGAGAAATTATATACACGGTTTATAGTATATATAGTACAGATAACCCTCCTATAACACGGTAGATAGGTTCCCAGAAAATGCCGTGTTGTGTGAAACCGTGTTGTATGAGACCCAGATGCAGTACAGAAAGTGAGGTTACGTTCCGAAAACTCACTAGAAACTTACTAGAAACAAATTTTTTTTTAATTCTACATAAAGAACCTAATTTTTCTTAAAAATATAAATGTATGTACAACATAAAACAAAAAAGGAACAAAAATATTATTTTAATTTAACGCAACTTCAATTTAATAAATTTCTTCATCGTCCTACCCATGTAGAAGTACAGTGTTGTACGAAGGTTTCTGCAATTTTCTTATTGCGTTAGAGCGAAACCGTGTTATAGGATGCCGTGTTGTAGGAGGGTTTCCGCAATTTATGAATCGTGTTATAGTGAAACCGTGTTATAGGAGGGCTACCTGTAACTCTTTTGTAAACGTACCCATCAGTACCGATTAGGTGTTGAATCATCGGAGGACAGAATTATGTATGACATTAGTAAGTAGTCCGAAGAGATTATATACACGGTTTATAGTATATATAGTAACTCTATAGTAACTCTAAATATACCGATCAGTACCGATTGAGTGTTGGATCATGGAGCGAAAAACATGTAAGAAGTGGACAGTCGTTACGTTATTAATTAACGTGTAATAAACATAATTTTGCAACGAGAAATACAAGAGTACGTTCGATAAAAAGGCAAACTTGTTTATCTCTTGCTACGCGATTACGGCTTGCGCAATCTTGATCTACGTAGTTAGGTCAGATTGCCTAATAATTTTACATAAATGAAGAAACATAAATGAAATGAATCAGAACCTATTGAATTGCTATAGCCATTCCAATTTGCATAGGTTCTTGATTACAATTTTTAATTGTATTGACATTTTCGTGGTGAGCTAATAATTTTGCACGAATGAAGGGATCAGTAGCTATTGAACTGCTATAACCATTTTAATTTACATATGTTTTCGATTAAAATTTTTAATTGTATCGATATTTTCCACTAATATCGTGGTTTCTAATTACCCAGAACTTTTCCTCGTTCTTTTAAAAAATACATACTGAATTCAAACGTTTCAAATTATTGGAAACTTTGTAATTAACTCAGCAATGCAACAGTTCCTTTATTTCCTTTTTCTCTCTTGGACATTTTAACGAAACACTGTTTACCAAACGTCCAGAGTCCTATAAAAGAACGAACGAAATCGTATTCCAACGAAGGAATCGTGGACTGTCCGAAAAATCGAAATACAGCAGCGAATGGGAAAAGATGGGATAAAGCAGCGACATTGGGCTGGCACCTAGGGAAGAATACTAATTCCCCAGACCAGTGGGCGCAAAGGCCTAACCAGCGACGAGCGATCAGAGACAACGAGAGGCCTAACGATCTATCAGGGCCGCGGGCGCAGAAACAAAAAGGCGGCTACGACAATGGCGGATGCTTTTCGTGGGAGCGCGATAACAAAGCTCCCTTCGCGCGAACGTTCCCGTTTGCAGGGGAAAGAGAAGAGGAACGCGAGTCCAGCGGGCCCTCGTCTTCTCTCCTTTCTCCCTACGCCCTTACGCGTCCCTGTCCCGCCTCCCTTTGTCCCTTCCTCGACAACGACCGACGACCCGACGAGATAGCGCCAGCCGAGGAAGCATCCGGAAGAGGACAGGAAAAAATGGGGAAAAAAGCACGTGTAGGTAGTCAGAGCGGTGCACACGCGGGGTTTGTTTACAGGCCATGGAACTCTCTCTCCATGGGTTCCTTGACTCGCAATCGAACCACTCCGATTCCCTTTTCTCCGCTACGTCTTCCCTCTTTTTCTCCCGGCCACTCTACCCAGTCTTCCTTCTTCGTATCACTCACTCCCTCTCTCTCTCTCCCTCTCTCTCTCTTTCTCTCTGTCTTTTTTCCCTCGTAATTCTACTACGAGAGGGCTCCGCTGGTCGCGTGGAGTTGCACGATTCACGTAGAGAACGGTAATCGCGCGCAGCTGCGCCGACGCCCGATAAAAAGGCTCGTTCACGAGAGCCACGATGCGCGACGACAATGGACGACGACCGGCGTCGATCGTCGCCGCGGTAATCGAAAGTATGGAAGAGAATCGCCGCGATCGAGTCACCTGATCGCGATCGAGAGATACTCGAAGGTGGCCGGGCAGGTAGAAGGCTAGGTAGAAGCTAGGTAGAAGCTGGGAGCACCCTGGCTGCTAGCTATTGTTCCTTTGTGCGCTAGGCTGGAGGTCTTGAAAAGTGGGTATCCGGGTAATGACCGATTGAACGGCTAATGGCTGAATAGACGGACGAACCTGCGACTTCGGGAAATTCTCTGCGCGGATGCCTGTGGGAAATTCCTCCCCCCGGACCCTTCCGAGTGCACTAAATTTCCTACACATTTTCTGCCAGCCAATTCTCGGAAAGGGTATCACATCGTCGAGTATACGAGAATTCTTGGATCTCTGTCTCGTTTCGAAGTTTCACTAGGAAGTATCTGGTTAGGTTGGGGCACGTGATCGGTGATTGCGAGACGCACCGAAAGTTTCGAATTTTAAACGCGTTATTAATTAAGGAATTAGTCGCGACGAAGGTATAAACTCGAGCTAACGATACTTAACCTCTTGTACTACGTTGAAACTCGTAAAAAGCCCGGTCGAAATTTGAAACACGATATTTTACGACCGAATGCAAGATAGGCGTTAGCACATTCGAGATATTCATATTTGGACAGAGATTAAGACCACGAGCCAGACTCGAGATATTCAAGTTTGGCCTGAATTGCCGATAACGTGTGAGACTCGTGATATTTATGTTCGACCCGAAATGTCGATCACGAGTCAGACTCGTGATATCCACGTTTGGCATGAAATTATACGACGAGCCTGACTCGTGGTATTCAAATTTGGCCTAAAATTTTCAACACGAGTCATGCTCGTGAAAATAGTGCCTTTGACTACTATGCGTGACTATAGTAGTAGACAAAAATTAAGACAAGTGCTACCGTTCCTCTTAACTCCTTTCGCAAAGAATTGCAAGCTCTATTGCGATGGTCAGTTTTTCTTTTTCTTTTTTCTTCAAAAGATTTGCGTCAAAGCACCGAATGCTAAAGACTGCACGATGGTAATGTTTCCGTCTCTGACACGTCGCTTCGCGGCGACGCCCGCCATAGCGAAAGGGTTAAACCGCTTTCGCGATTACCGGCACGTGCGTGCATGATTCGCTTTCACTCTTTTATACAAACAGGGTAAAAAGAATCGGGCATCCGCCGGTAAGAAGCGGTAAATAACGAGAGTAAACGAACCTCCGATTAAGACAGTTAAAACGTGTTCTGTTTACGTGCTGAGTTTCGAAACTGGAAAAATTCCATGGTACTTGCGGAGCGAGCATGGATCTCGGTCATTTTTCGAAGCAGCTGCTAATCTTGGAAATTTACAGAAGGGCGTTAAATCGATGAGAAGTAGATCTACCACTTTGATCGTGGCCTATATTTATCCAGCGGGAAGATTTTCCAACGATAAAGCTCTCTGTTTGCCCGATAAACGTCTACTTCTACCGACGACGGTAGACCACCTACACGGTGTTGAGCAAACATCGCGCACAAAGGAAGCCAAGTGTTAATTAAATCATTTACAAACAGCTCGGCAAACATACTCCGGGTAGGCTAAGATCATCCGCGTCGACCGTATAATAATTTCATCGACCACAGTCCACGGACCAAGCCCCTTCGGGGTATCCTAAATATTCCTACGAGCATACAGCACGGGTCACCGAGTTTCCCGACACATGGTTCCTTCGCGTCTAACTCGCAGCAGCTGTAGCAAAGACAAAGCCTAATTTCGCAGCAAGACGCTGCCACAACGTGTCTACTCTTACTTCCGCCCTAGAGAAACTAGCAGGCGTTGGGAAACTCACCTATCACGGTGTTAGCAGCGACCTCTTTGGCGGCAGCGGCCGCAGCCGCCGGACCATGGGCCAGGAAATCGCTGAGAGACAACGAGGACGCGATGATCTGACGTTTCTCTTCGAAATTCAAGTAATCCAGACTATTGCTCCTCTGTGGTCCGGCGACGATCGTCACGGTCTTGGCAGCGTGATGATGATGATGGTGCTGCTGGTGGAGATTGTTCTCCACCGACAGGTTGCTCGGTTTCTCGTTGCCAGCCTCGTTATTGGCAGGGCTTGGCACCAGGTAGACGCCGCTCACGCGTATGGACATCGTCGACGGGCGATCCTTGAAACGGCCGCGCTTCTTCCGCCTCCAGGGGCTGAGGATCGCAACCAGGCCCGGCAACGAAGCTACCGGCTGCTGGCCAGCTGAAACATCCTGACGACTGCCCGGTCGAGAGGTCGGCTCGCGTCGCTTGTTACTTCGAGGCAGCTCCACGGCTCGGCGTTTAGTGCGTTCACGATCGCCGAGGAAAATTTATGGGCTCTACTGTGCGCGCTTCTGGCACCGGCTACCGTGAACGCTGCGCCGATGATCGCTACTTCTTACACGATCTCAACGTCTCCTCTATTTTCTCGCGGATCCCTCGATATCGAGATCCAGATGGAGATCGAGGATCGTCGCTCGCGCGCTTTCCGGCCAGTTTCTTCTTCTCTAGTTCCCCCGAGGGCTGTTACTCGTCTTCTTTTATCACGAGTCGCGCGATTATTACTAGGTAGAAAAGGTACAACAGGTATTCAAGATGGCAGGATTTCCGTATCACGTAGTCGTTTGAAAATTCCAACGGAGTCGGAGCCCGGATGACTGGCAGATTTTCCTCGTATTCGGCCGCTCTCCGCGATTATATGGCACTGTGTACATACATACGAGAAATGGCCCAGGCAGGGTGACCCTCCGCCGTGTGGTTCAATGGTCTTTGCTTATAACGGAAGGAAGCGAACACGGGCCTTCCGCGCTCTTTCTTTTTTTTTTTTTTTTTC